GGGGGGGGGGCAGCGGCTGCCCTGCTCTTGCTGCCACATCTGCCACCGCCAGCACTTCAACACGGGGGAGGGAAGAAGCGCCCCTGTTTGGAAGGGGTGGGAAAAGACAAGGCAAGTTTTCAAAGATGGGCCGGAGCAAAAGTGGAGGAGGGCAGAATCCACTGGACGGGGAAGCCCTGCTCCCCTTGAACCCACCCAAGTCGCTGCACCAGGCCTTCGCTTACACGCACACGCACACGCCTGGGTGCACACACACACACGCACAAAAGCAAGTGTTCAAATGTACCCACAACAGGAGAGCCCAGTGGGGGCTCAGCCCCCCCCCCTTGGTAAGGAGGAAGGGGGCCTGTACCTCATTTGTCTTAATGGATGAGCCACCCCAGGGAGCGGGGGGGGGGCTGGCAAGAGAACAGCAACCTGCCGGTCAGACTCCCCTCTTTCTGGGCAACCACACCAACACGCAGCAGAATGCAAGCAAACTACAAATCTATACTCAAAGCCGCTTTTATGTATAAAAGGGGTGGGGGCGGGGGGGCTCCAAGTACATCAGCAGGGAGGAGGTGGGGGTCGGTTGGGGAGAAGTCCTGGACGTCTTGCACTTCCCAGTCTTGAGACCCTTCAAGGCTTCTGCGTTTCTGGCGGCTGGAAACGTTTTAGCTTCTCTGGATTGTGAGATGCCATTTGAGAGAAGTCCCGGAAGATGTCCTGGTAGGTTTCGTCTCCTGGGGGGGAAAAGGAGCAGAGACGATTTCATTGCCGACGTCCGTCCATGCTGGTTAATGCCAGGGTCCACTCCCTGTCACCACCGCCCCTCGCCCTGATCGCAAGGCCCTCCCTGCCATCCGCAGTCCAGAGGGTTTCACTGGAGGGCAGAACGTCGGGGCTATGGCTGTACCCCACGCTGTGTTCTGAAGACACACACCCCCCCCGGCCTGTGGGTGCCGAGAGAGCCCTCCCGTGCCCACGGGATCATGACCGATGGAGCCCTGGGAAGGTCATGTTCAAAGCCCTGTGTCTGTGTCTGTGCATGCAAACACACCCAGACGCGGCGGGGGGGGGTCTTGGCTGACCACCAGCAGTCCCTCTGCAAGGCTGTCCGGGGCCCATTGGAGTGTGAATCTGAATGCACCCACATGCGCACATGGCCAAACAAGGATGCTCCCCCTGACCAGCAGCCCCCAGTCCTTAAGGTACCATCTCACAGTTTTTTTCCCCCCTGCTTTTGTGATCCTGATTTTTGCTCCCCATCCCACGTCTGGTGAGGAGCTCTGGTCTGTTCCCAGCGCCCCAAAGGCCAGCGCTTGTTGCCAACCAGTCTTTGGCCCTTTCGCTTTGCTCAGCAAAGAAGGCTCCTTGCCTCCCACCGGGGATGGATGCTATGGATGCTCTTCCATTCGGCAGCCTCTCCCCCCCACCTCACCCCCCCCCGTGCTAAGAGCGGCAACATAGCCATTCCCACTCCATTTGAGCAGGAGGGGATCCGGCCCCCAAGGGCTCACGGCAGACACGCCCAGAGCACCACCTTCCGGGGTGTTTTAAGCAAGCAAAGGCGTCTCTTCATGGCATGCAAGCCCGGCATGAAAGCAACAGAAAAGAAAGCCAAACTCTACCTGAGGGGGGGGGAGACCTCAAAGGCAGCCGTGCAGAGGAAAGCTCAGAGTTAGGAAACCAAAATGCAAGAGAAAAACAAACAAAGGGGGGAGGAGGAGGAGGAGGAAGAGGCGGGAAAGGAGCTCAGTGCCCGTCCTGGCAAACAGCCCCCCCCGCCGAAAAGCCATCCCAGGTCCTATTATTGGCAGGTGGGGGGGAGGGAGGGAGAGGACGAGGTGAGCAGCAGCCAGCAGAAGGGGGGGGAGGTGATTCTTGGTTCTCTGGGCTCCTTTGACCTTTGGGAGGGCTTTGGCACACTTGCTCAAGAGGAAGCCTTCCATGAAGATGAGAGACACACCCCCACCCTTAACCCCAAACCAAGAGCCCTGGGAAGGACCTGGGGGAGTGGGGGGCCCCGTTGGCTGAGGTGGGTCACTGGGCCCTCTGGCCCCCTCTTCTCCCACACAGGAGAGCCGGCCGCCACTTCCGTGGGTCTGTGCTGCCCTCCCAGAGAAGGACCAGAGGCGGCGGCAGGGCTCAGGAGGCTGAAGGGTCACCCAACGGGGAAGCCACGCCCAGCGCCCCCCTCCGGCCAAGGGAGGGGCGGGCGGGCGGGGGAGCCTCTCGCCCAAAGGCCTTCAGAAGTCCGAGAGCCGCTTTCTTTGGGTCCACTTCTTTGGCTACTCGGGACAGAAACTGGACTCCTTTACAGAAACAGGAGGGGCACTGCTGTGTCCCTGCGTGCTGTCCCGCACTACATTCGAGCATCCAGGAGCCTGAGACATTCAATGTCCTCCCTCTCGCCCCACCTCTCCTTCTGAGCAAAATAACTGCCTCCTCTTGGGCGCCAGTCAGAGCAGAAGAAAGGTGCAGATTATTGGGGGGGGGGGAGAAACACACAATGACAAGTGGTGCAGCATCTCTGGAACCAGCCCGGCCGGCCAGAAGTTGTCCTGAAAATGCTGCACAACCACAGGCTTCCAGGGGCTGGGGGGGGGCTGGATGTGGTGGCGAAATCTGTTCCACGAGCAGAGGAATGACCCACGGCCTGCCTGGCCACCTGCCCACTCTGCCTCTCTGCTCCTGAGATGCCGAGGGAAGGGGCAGCAAGATCCTGGAGGATGCCAGGCCTGTTCAACTGCGGGACCTCTCCTCACCCTGGCAGGGGCGGGCTCGGCGCCTCCCTCACCCTTGCCCTCACCCTGCCTGTCCAGGAGGGCCGCCTGCTCTTTACCAACTTTGGAAGGGCACCCAGCCCAGCAAGCTACTCCAGGGGGAAGAGCAGCTCCTGGGGGCGGCATGAGGCCCCCAGATCCTCCCCTCCACTTTACTGCCTTTGGGCGGTAAAGGGCAATCCACACCCCTCCCGCAGGGGAGAAGGTACATCGGGAAAGGCTCAGGGATGCCACAGAAGCCCGCTTTTTCCCCCCAGCATTCTGGACTGGACTGGACTGGACAGCGGCCCGGTGAGGCCCCTCTTGGGCAACCGGCCTGGGTGGGCCAGGCCGGGGGATTCTCCTCTCCTCTCCCTGCTAAAGATGTCCGGTCTGAGTGGCGCCTGCCGCAGTTCACCCGGTGCAGGATCTCCTCCCTGGTGCTCTGGGCCAGACAACCCAGCCACCACCTGGGCTTGAGCGCACACACACACACACACCCGCCCTGCCTGGTGAACAGTCAAGGGGGCAGCCACCATGGGGAAAGCAGGCACAGCCGGCCAGGGCGGCAGCGCCACCACCTCCACGTGGGAAGCTGCTCTGGGGAGGCGGGAGGCCCAGCTCCACCTCAGAAGGAGCAGCGGTGGGCAGGCGGGCCCCCTCTCCTATCCTGCCCGATCTGCCCGAGATCCTCCAAACGGTCTGCTCTGGATCTGGGCCCTACGCCTCCTCTAGCTGCAGGCTAATGAACTCCTGCATGCACTTCCGGTACTGCATCTCCGTGTGGCCATTGGAAGCTTGACCTGGCTGGCCGTAGAGCCCCTCCGACTCCCGCATCTCTTCGTTCATTCTGGCCAAGCGCAACCTGCAAAGAGAGAAGAAGCCCCACAGCGTGCCTGGGTGTCAGAAGAGATGCGGAGAGCCCCTCGGCCCCCTGCCCTGGCCCCCAAAGCCCCTCGGCTCTCCTGGCTAGCCAGATGCCCCCTTCCTCACCCCCCCACCGCTCGACAGCTGGGTCTCCCTCGGCTCCCACCACCGAGGCAAGCGCTGTTCCTTCCCTCTGGGGCTGGCTGAGGTCTCTGGGGAAGGGGCCCAAGAGAGGGTGCTGCGCGCCCGCCTGCCCGCCCGCCCGGCCACGTGGTGTGAGGGCTCCCAGGCCACCGAGGCCACTAGCCAAGGGGGAGCAGCAGGTGCTTACAGGGTCACGATATCTGCGTTGGCCGCTTCTATGGCGACACTCAAAGGGTCTTTTCCGTCTTCGTCCGTGGCGTGCTGATTGGCGCCCCGTTTAAGGAACAAACACACCTGCCTGTTCCAAATAAAGCACACAAAGATTGCAAAGGCGATCAAGTGGAAATGTTAAAGAACCTGGCAAGGAGCCAGCGAAGGGGTCTGATGGGAGGCCGAGCGCAGGATCTGACCTGTAGCTGGCACGGATCAAAGCCGCAAAAGGAAAAAAAGATAAAGAGTGCTGTGCCAGCCTCCCCATCTTCGCGCCACCCACTCAGGCTGAGGGAAAGTGGAAAACATCCACCCCAGGCCACAGTGCGGGGGGCGGGGGGGAGAGGGAGAGAGAGAGAGAGAGAGCCAGTTTTCAGGGGTGACCAAATGTCACCCTCAGAAGGCCACCTCCGGATGCCGCTCGCCTAGGGGCCCATCCGGGTCCCCCCACCGCCCCCACCCATCTTGCGGCTTCACGGCCACCCGCCGGGCCTGACCCCCTCGCTCTCTTCCAAGGCCTGAGTTCTCCTCGAAGCGCGCGCGCGCGCACACACACAGACGGGTGGCACTTCTAGGTGGCCAAAGAGGCCAGCCCCACGGCTGCCCACGCGCCCTCTCCTTCAGGGCTCCTTCCC